GTGAAAACATTGCCATAAGAGCGCACAATATAAACTAAGAAGCGATTTTGTTCAATTAAATACACTTTTACCAACCTATACTCTATCAGAATCTTCTGTCACATATAGTGTGTTTGATTACAGTTTCCGTAAAAAGACAGAATCTTTTCAACTAATTCGTTATAGTTTCAAATTGTATTTTAAACAATATCGTTAAACGCACTCTTACTCGACAGCATCAATGCAAGTATCGATTCGGTACAGAGTTGAGAATGTATGCTAAATTGGTTTTTGTCTCCCTTTCTTGTAAAGAGAACTATAGACGTGAGTCCTACTGAATAAATGCAAAGCATAAAGATAGTTATTGGAGAGTCTACAGATAAAATATATTAATTTAAGCTCATGAGAGACTCAAATTTGATGATGGTTTTAACGATACAACGGCCGTTTAAAATGATTCTCGTACAGGTTACGTGCAGTTCAAATGCAGGGCAATTACATCCCCTTTATAAAGAATATTAATAGTCAAATACAAGCAGTCAACCTATACTTTCGCCTAGTTAGCTGCAAGTATTAACAGATAAATCGAAAAATTGGAATTTACGTCAAATCCAATTCCAATCAACTCCAAATTCCAATCTTACCAAATCCATCAAATCCAAATCTAGAATTGGATTTGATGCATTCATAACTGGCATTGATATTCTCAGTGTTCGGTGAACACTGTTACTGAAGTTTCCAATGGCACAGTGAGCACTGACACTGATGTCTTCAGTAGTCGTTTTTCAGTATTCTCACTGACACTGCACATCCCCAGTCATCGGATTCGCTTCTGGACTTGGTTTAGGTGCAGAATTCCATTCTGTATCAAATGGTACGACTTTTTTGCGTAAGTCATCGGCTAAAAGATGGCCATCGATCCTATCATACTACTTTTATGAGACACTATTCCACTGAGTAAATTCTATCTATATTCACTTTTAACCTTGGATTAGACTCAGAATTAAACGCTGTGTCGAATGATGGGATTTTTACCCTAGGTTGTCCGGCACAAGATTTTCGTGTTCTTCTTCCGTGTAGCGCCCAACTAGATCCTGTCGGCCATATTGAGCAAAACCTTTTGCCGGACAATCTATAGTGAAAATAGAACTGTTCGACATAGAATTTAATTCTGAGTCTGTCGTAAGCTTGAGAATGAATATGAATAGAATTTACTCTGTGAAATTCATACATAGTATAAGCTGCTGTCTCAGATATATATATGACACGGTATGTTATGGTGATAGATGTCAAATTTCGAGCACCATTCTCACTGAATCCCTTACAGTTTTCTCACTTAGGAAGTTTTCAGTTGGGAGGGTTCAATATCAACACCCGATACTTCCGCTCCCGTTCAATATATGCTTCTGTAATAAAATAAAAACAATAATAAATATTTAATCACGTCCTTTTGCAAGTATTTTGATATATGAAATAGTGAATATTCACCTGTATAAACTTTCATTGACGTCAGTGGTTCCAAAATAAAAGATGAAATAACAGTACATGATGAATGGCTATTTAGAATGTGCTTTCTTTGTAGATTCTTTTGTGAAGAAATCATGAATGTTCGATTGATTGTACACAACACTTTCTTGATGTCCTAAAAATGCGCGTTTATATGAAAGAAACTCTAGTCACCATTATGATTTCGTAAACTTTTGACCGAACCCTATCGACTTGTTTTAATTTATTTAACGAAAGGTTTGTCTTTGAAAGAAATAGTGCTTATACACGGAATTAGATACTGTTGTTCTCTTTATTCTAAGCTTTTCTTCAAATAAATAGATAGTCCTTTGAAAAAGCTTTGAAATTGATTGATATTATTTGCCAAGAAATATTTTTATTAGAAAGAAGCGAGACTTTTATTTCATTTTATTCTTATAGCAAGTGAGTATGGATGTCTAATCGATGAGAAAGTTGTATGTAATTTTGAAGCTTTTGATCCTTTATTTGTGGAATTTCCGATCTTCTAACGATCGTCTTCTGCAATACAGGATTTTATTGACAACAAGAACAAGATATTCATTAAAATCTCGTGTTTCTGATTATTATACACGGGCATAGACGTCTTCTCAAGAACCAAGACGTTTACTAGGAATGAGAAGGTCTCATAGAGAGTTCATCATTTTTAACGAGATAGTGTGCGGCTTCATAGTTTGTTCTGAGAGATTTTTTCGACAAACGTCCAAAGCACGCATACACTGAACCTGAACGCTCGGGTTTGGAGTCCAATGAGATCAAGCTTTCCTCATCTCGATCCCCATCGTCTTTTGGTTGAAACTAAGCTGTCTCGACCAAATCGCCATCGAGACCAGACTTCAAGATAAAAATAAGAATCGTGATCGTCTCGCCGGATTCTGCTCGGGTTCGACGACACATAGGTAGCTGAGTTGTCACTGATGACTCATTGACATATGATTCATTTCACACGTGGTTGTAAACGTAGTTATTAGACATGCACCAATACCAAACATTTTGGGTTTAGAGGATTTGGTTTTGATCAAGTTTTGGTTTTGCAGTATAGGTTTTGATAAGGTTTTGGCAGTTTTGGTATTGATTTTGATATGATTTTGGTCTTGATGTGATTTCAATACTTTTGCTCGTTTTTCAAGATAAATCGAATAAGACTGTTTTCAACAACCAAAACCAAAACTTTCAAAACTTTCAAACTCAAACACAAACCGAAACCCAATCAAAATTAAAGTATTGAAATCAAAACGACATCAAAACCAAGACTTCAATACCAAAACTTCAAAACTAGTTTTGGTATTGGTGCATACCTAGTAGTCGCATTTTCACATCGCGTGAAAAATTGTCATACCTTGCAGTCTAAGTTTCGGTGCTGCTTCAATTGGGAGAAATGTCTGTATTTACAAGAAAAACCATTTGAATTGAATCCATTTTTCTCATACGAGTTTCTGAGAAAATGTACAGAAACTCTCTATGAACTCTAATACCATTATTGTAAAACTATTTAACTGACATTAGGCTCTAACATTTACATGTGTGTGATACACATAACTGAGTTCAAGAAAGGGGACGGAAATCGATGTACGATTTGCGGATTTGTAATGAGTAGATGTGATTTGCAGTGAGTTTAGATGATTTCGCACTCCTGTCAATCAGATACCGAAACATGATATAACAGCTGTATAAAACTGCCAGTTTCCCTACAAATGTGGATGAGGAACATCGATGCTTACTCTGAGAAAGAGGAACCATTGTGAACCATGAAAGATTTTAGCGAGGTCTAAAACCTGTTATGGTTCTCGATTTAAGTTCAAAGATTTTTGGTAGAACAAAAAGGTGTTCTGAAAACGGTAGCGAAGAACAATTCCCTATATCACGGCTTTTTGCAGAGTAAAAATTGGTAATGCTCTCCTGAGCTCTTTATCCGGGGATTTGGAATGCCGACAATGGCAAACTATCCTTCCGAATATCATGACAAACTGCATCCCTTTTTCTCCACTTAGTGTATAGAATTGCCTCAAAAGCTACCTACCGATTATATACTATGATCCTGCGATATCTGTCAGAAATGTTCCGTATTTTGTTCAAGCTTGAAAACGTCGGAATTCCTATGGAAACAGATATTTTGAGTGAATGAAAACTGACGCAGCTTGCAGCACTATTCTGAAAGATAGCTTTATCATTGTCGGTGTTCTAGATTTTTCTGGAGAACAGATTCTCAGAAGCATATTTCATACGATAAACTTCATATTAGTCAAATCTTTCAATACAATCTCATCGTTGAAGTTATTATCTTTTTCCAATAAGCTCAACTGGGATACTAACTCCCGAAAATAGAATCTTGCATCTCAAAGACTCTCGCTGACGTAACTCTTCGCTCGCCGCCTTCATGTGACGATAGAAATAACATAGACAAGATTCTTTAGCTCTCTCGTTCATTTAATTCTAAGCAGGCGAGCAAGAAGAAGCTATATGAAGATATCATACGACTGCAGAAGGTGTGTGCTCGTTATAATATCCAAATGAAGGGATCGTTTGTACTGCTCCATAGAACAACATGAGTATCGAATAACGTGTATTAAGCGTAGTTTATTCTAATGTTGTTAGTAGAAGGAAGAGTTTTGAAAAGTATTTGTAATGAGTTGAAATGATTTACATCAGTTTTTTAAATTTGAGTGGATATAGCTGCCTCTAGCTAACCCTCGGCGCTGTGGACTATCTATCTGGCTCGCTGTATGCTTGTTAATTAGTACCTCACATCGAAGAACACTATTCTTTTTATCTGATGACTTCGTCAGTGTGCGATGATTTCTAACAAGAAGCGGAATCGAAGGCTATGCGCATGACACTGGTTAGCAAAGTTCTTTGCACTATGTTTTTTATCATCTCTTCTAGCATTTCATTCATAGCAGTACAGTGCAAGATTTAAACTGAACATTAACAATGAAAAGTAACAAACAAGAACTTTACAAGGTGAAAGTTTATAATGTATTGTACACAGGATAAAGGAAAACATGAAATGATCTTCAGTTTATATAATCATTCTAGCCTGCACCGAATTGTTCAAAGCCAGCTCAAGCACCAGGTACTCAGTCAAGAACAACGTATGTATATGTTCGCGTTCAATCTCGGAGTCACCATGGTCACACTCATGTGAAAGTGATCATGATACGGAGCTATTTCCGCAACACGATCTGTATCTACATTATGAGCCCTATCAATCGATAAAGTATGAAACGAAACAGACAGCGCCAACTGAGAAGGTTTTCTCATCAGAAGGAGCGCAGGGATGAGGTATGGCAGCACCTCCAGAGATTAGCATCTGTACGATTATCAGCTTGGAAGATGACTCGCTCTGAGATCGCTGTTTACGGTGTCACTAACGGATCTGGTCCAGGCGAATTTGAGTTTGCGCTCATAACTATTTCAATCTAAGATTAGTCTGAATCTGGGATCAAACACTAACATATGCATGAAGTTACGACTTACTTCCAAAGGGATCTATCATTTTAGGTACTTATGCAATCGCAAAAGAACATCGATGTACATCGTATTGTCCCCTGTACCTCTGATTTTAATTGCGCTAGTTGTTATGATTCCCACAGTTTTTGTTGCGAGGAAAACAAAAACTACAGCAGCACCTATACCAATTACAACAGTAACAACTGTGACAATGTCAACAACTACCACACAAACAACGACTCCAACAGAGACAAGAACAACAGAAACAACAATATACAAATCTGGTATGATTGTAATTTTCCAAAAAGTTTCCTTTTATTTTAAACGCATTAGATTGAAAAAGTTTTACCTAATCATATTTTATTCGGTTTTGAGTTGACAATTTCGAATAACTCCATCGATTGTAGGAAGAGGCATACGAAATAAAGTAGTGCGCTTACGAGTTTGTTTATGTCAAGATCAAAATCAAAAAATTGTCCGATGTGGTCGGATACACCTCAGTCCTGATGTCCTGCATCGTGAGAGTACCTCGGCATCTTCTATTTTGTATTGTACAGGTACTCTTAGACCCTTGTATGCCGTTGAAAACACTACTGTCTGCCGCAGTCGAGGGCTAAGTGAGTCGCATAACGAACGTTACTCGTTGTTAGCAGTGACGAATTGAACCTTTGCATGAGTTTTGAAGCTCTTTATCTAGCCATTCAAGTAAACTCGTTCTACTTCCACCCAGTACTGGTCTACTCATCCAAAATCACGGTCGATCGCCTCCTATTTTTCAGATAAATTCGAATAGTTTTATACGACTTGATGTCTCTTTCGAGCTGCGAAAACTGCAGGTCTTCTTCTCGTTCGTACTAGAAGTTATTCGACAAATACTCACCCACCTTTCCTTTTGAAATGAGGAATAGTTGTAGATATGAGGAAAGTATTGACATGTGTTCACTCAGTCACCCTACAGACTAAATTTTCTCTTGGGACAGCGTTTCTGACACTTTTCATTTCGTTTGGGGATGGTTTTACTTTACGACGAGAATGACAACGATCACAACTGACACTACATTTGGTCGAGAAGAAGCGTGACGATAGTTGAATCCTAAATCGATGCTGTCTTGCGATGATAATTGTTGAAACTTGTCGCAGTGTTTTGTAGCAAATAAAAGCCTTCTTTTGCACTTACTAGATCATTGTCGAACCGTTCTCAGTTTATACATGCTCATGTCTCGCGTCACAAAGCGAAATGGTGAAACGCGAGGGATCTATCACGCATTTTGAGCCCCCGTTGGTATCTCCCCGAGCAAGGTTCATTGTTGTTGAGGAGAATTTGCGTGACATTTAGAGCGATGAGTTAGCTGTGCAGGAAGAAACGATGTGCCGTTCTTGTGTCGACTTGAAGAAGACGTTGATAATGATGATGTGCTTATATCTCTTCCACATTCGCCCGACATATTCGTAGAAACAAGGATACAATCTGAACGGAATGTGACAGAAAAGAGGCAAATTACTCGCTGTGCTTGTCGATTGAAACTGTTCCTCATCTGGCACTTCTCTTTAACGAATTCGATTGTTCCAAGCAGATATCTCTTTGCCTTTTCTCTTGTAGACGGCAAAAAATATCTCAAATGGAAACAACAGGCAACCACCGTCGCGGGAGGAAATGGAAATCAATTCAATCAACTCTCTTCTCCTTATGGCATCTCTGTTGGTCAAAACAAAACCATTATCATCGCTGATTATGGGAATGATCGTGTTGTTCGATGGGAATGGCAGGCTAAGAAGGGAACCATCGTCGCAGGAGGAAAAGGAAGAGGAAATCGAACGGATCAGTTGCATTCTCCAAGAGATGTGATTGTTGCTAAAGACAATCAGTCAATCATCATTGTTGATTATAGCAACAGACGAGTGATTCGGTGGTTTGATCAAAGTCCATTGAATCAACAGATTCTCATCAACGACATCGACTGCTATGGCTTGGCGATGGACAAAGAAGGATATCTCTATGTTTCTGATGTGAGGAAGCAGGAAGTGAGACGATGGAAAGAAGGAGAAAGCCAAGGAACAATCGTGGCTGGAGGAAATGGACTAGGAAATCGACTCAATCAACTGAAGTGGCCTTCTTATCTGTTTGTCGATGATGAACAATCGATCTATGTCTCGGATCACGGGAATCATCGTGTGATGAAATGGCGAAAAGATGCAAAAGAAGGATCGATTGTCGCTGGAGGAAACAGAGAAGGAAACAGTCTCAATCAATTGTGGCATCCTGAAGGAGTGATCGTTGATCGTTGGGGACAAATCTATGTGGCAGATCTGGGGAATAATCGAGTGATGCGTTGGCGTGAAGGAGACAAAGAAGGAGGAATCGTCGTTGGTGGAAATGGTTACGGACAAAGACTAGATCAATTGTCTTATCCCACTGGTTTATCATTTGATGACGAAGGAAATCTTTATGTGGCTGATTGTGGGAATGATCGAATTCAGAAGTTTGATTTGATTTTGTCGTAGAAATGTTCTTTTTTTTAGTTGAAAATAAAAAAAATAGAAATGAGAATATCTGAAAGAGATTGCCGATTTGAAAGATTAATCGAATGCATTGTTTGCGATGATTTTGTTCGATCAATGAATAACAGTCGATGATTAAGGAAATGTGTTGATGATAGAGTTATTACTAGTTTTCTTTGATGGAAAAAACTTGAAAGACGAATCGGTAAGAACTGTTTATCATAGACAGAGAAGAGGAGAGAACAGAGTGACTTGAATAATGATGAGATTCATTTCTGGATCAAAGGGAGAATGGTAATGATAAATATTGTTTTGCTGTTTGTTGCTCTTCAATGATCTCTTTCTTTTTCTTCTTTCCGATCGATTCAATTGAAAACTGTCTTTGAAAACAAGAGTCAAATGGAAGATCTTCGTCAGAACTCTTTTGTCTCTTTGATCGATAACAACAACAATAAATGACAAGATAAAGAATAACTGATTATTTCGATCACATCTAAAAAGTATAAAGCTCTTCCTGCAATAATAAAAAAGATCCTTTCACTTTAGAATATCGTTCTCTCTAATTTGCAATGAAAACGATCTCAGAAGACTTGATTCTAATAAAACATTCCCATATACTAGGTTGAGCAAAATGTCGATGTTCACTTGAGGATCCACCCTCATCTTCAACACTCAAAAAAAAAGGAGTTTTACCAAACCTAAAAAAGGTTCTTCCCGTCGATACACGGGTGGATCCTTCTTTTTGGTTTCGCTCGAAACCTCAAGCAAACGAATAGCCCAAAGGTTCGGTAGTAAAGGTTCAGTAAATAAACGGCTGAGCCCACCTACCAAATAGTTCTGCACAAAATCTCCCAAACCCACCTGTTAGAGGGTTCCGTAGAGAAAGTTTGAAGTTTCAATGGCATGATGCTGAGTCTGAGGCATTTCACACACTCAAACAAATGCTTACTACTGAACCCTTATTTCTTAGTTATCCAGTCGATGATATTCCTTTGATACTCTCGACTGATGCTAGTGGCATCGGCCTTGGAGGTGCGCTACAACAGGAGGCAGAAGGCGAAATCCACAACTTGTATTATCATTCGCAACTCATGACTCCTACCAAACGTAAATATACTACTATCGAAAAAGAAGCCCTTGCAATTTATAAATGTTTTGCAAGAATGCGAACCTTTTTGTTAGGTCGTACTATTATTCTTCGTACAGATCATTGTCCACTCTGTCATATCATGGAAAAATCAGTTCATAATAAACGCGTAGATCGTATTACTCATTTGATTCAAGAATATAATATTGATAAAGTTATCCATATCACAGGCAAAGAGAACTGTCTTCCTGACTTTCTCTCACGTTATGCGAATGATATCGACGATGACCTTTTCGAAATTGATTATGGTTTAGAGAATAAACAGAGTATACTTGCTTCCATGGTGCTACGATCTCATACAAANTTGGATATCACCATATTTTAGTACTCCCTATCACCCACAAACGAACGGGATAGTCGAGCGTTTTAATGCGACATTTGTCCCTCAGATAGCGAAGCTGCAGGACTCCCAGGACAACAACTGGGATGAGTACTTGCAAGCGGTCGTGTTCGCGTATAATACAGGTACACATAAGACGACAAAATATTCTCCTTACGAGCTTCTCTATGGACGTGCTCCTCGTTTACCGATCACTATCCGTCCATCACATTTTACCTTTTCGAAGCCCAATGACTACTTTGAGCAGCTACGCAAGACGTTACGCATTTATCAGAAGGCTGCACATGATCATATACTTATCCAACAGAGCAATGCCAAACGACGCTACGATCTTAATCGAGCCGATCCGCATTATTGTATTGGAGATAGTGTTCTTATAAGATTACCTGGTAATCGCGGAAAGTTAGATCCTAGATTCTCACTTATCCCACACGTAATTACTACGGTGAATCATCCTACCTATGAAGTACAGGATCTCGAGACGGACACCTATACACAAGTTCATGTGAGTGATATCAGATCCATTGCACTTGACTAATTTCTCATTATCTCTACCATTCTGTTAATATATGGGATCCACTTATCGGCTATCATCCCATGTTTTGTTCGTTCTCTATGCTTTCTTTATTATTTCTTCATAACGTTATTCTTGATTACATCATTCTTTATCTATTCTACTCTTTTTGAGATATTTGTCTTACCAGTAACATTCACTGCAATGAATCCTCTGCACAATCCTGTGTCTTTTCATTCCAACACTCATCTCGATGATTATTTATCATCTTGTGATCCTTCCTTGCTGCACCGTGGGTACTCTCGTTTGTCTTCTGATGGGTTGCTGCCGCATCCTGCGGCAATCAATCATCACGCACGAGAATCTCATATACCTTATACACTATCTCATCTGGACTCAACTACACGTCTGGAACATCCAATTCATGTTCATCGTTCCATGTCCGAATCTGTCATCACGCAATTGATTACTCGAATTTCTCATATTCGGTTGTATGCTGTAATTACGCAATTGGATGACGTACTGCACGTACACTCACAAGGTTTGCCTGCGATTATTCACATTCATGCCATTCCGAGTCAATCACATTCTATTAAATTTCTTCTCGAATTACAACATTTACCACCTGCCTCTTCATCTCTTTTTTCTTTAATTCAACAACTGTGTCACCTGGTTTTCTCATCTGACAATATCATTTTTTCTTGTGGTAATCTTCAGCAGTCCTTAGCTCTGTTTGAATCATTCAATCTCTTCTCGTTATCTCAACTTATTCATGTGTTGGATTTACAGTCTCTTTTTGCGACTCATTGGAATTCTCTGCATCCGCACACCGCGGAGTGCTTATCTCACCCGACTGTCGTTTCCGATGACTGTGAAACTGACGACACGTTAGTTTGTTTAGTGAACACAGATGACCTCGAAATTGACTCACTTCATGCGAATCTTCTCGATGATTACTCTGGATGTACATGTCCCTCTGACATTCGTCCATATAAAGGATCTCAGGTAACATGGTCTTTGCATAAGGCACTCGATTCTGTCTTTCATCAGTCTCTAGAACTGCCTTTGATTTCTAATCTATGGTCATGTGGTTTGGACTTTGTTCTCACTCCTTGTGTGTCCTTAGATGATCAGACCATTCGACAAAACCTTGTTTCTCATCTTGTTCAAACTGCTGATGCCTACACCAGCTTATATTTCTTTCTGGGTAATTCTGTGCCTTCGTTGGTACCTTCGAATTCTNAACCATATTTTTAGTACTCCCTATCACCCGCAAACGAACGGGATAGTCGAGCGTTTTAATGCTACATTTGTCCCTCAGATAGCGAAACTGCAGGACTCCCAGGACAACAACTGGGATGAGTACTTGCAAGCGGTCGTGTTCGCGTATAATACAGGTACACATAAGACGACAAAATATTCTCCTTACGAGCTTCTCTATGGACGTGCTCCTCGTCTACCGATTACTATCCGCCCATCACATTTTACCTTTTCGAAGCCCAATGACTACTTTGAGCAGCTACGCAAGACGTTACGCATTTATCAGCAGGCTGCACATGATCATATACTTAGCCAACAGAGCCATGCCAAACGACGCTATGATCTTAATCGAGCCGATCCGCATTATTGTATTGGAGATAGTGTTCTTATAAGATTACCTGGTAATCGAGGAAAGTTAGATCCTAGATTCTCACTTGTCCCACACATAATTACTGCGGTGAATCATCCTACCTATGAAGTACAGGATCTCGAGACGGACACCTATACTCAAGTTCATGTGAGTGATATCAGATCCATTGCACTTGACTAGTTTTTCATTATCTCTATCATTCTGTTAATATATGGGATCCCCTTATCGGCTATCATCCCATGTTTTGTTCGTTCTCTAGGCTTTCTTTATTATTTCTTCGTAATGTGATTCTTGATTCCATCATTCTTTATCTATTCTACTCTTTTTAAGATATCTATCTTACCAGTAACATTCACTGCAATGAATTTTATGCACAATCCTGTGTATTTTCATTCCAACACTCATCTTGATGATTATTTATCATCCTATGATCCTTCCTTGTTACACCGTGGGTCTTCTCGTTTGTCTTCTGATGGGTTGCTGCCGCATCCTGCGGTAATCAACCATCACACACGAGAATCTCATATACCTTATACACTATCTCATCTAGACTCAACTACACGTCTGGAACAGCCAATTCATGTTCATCGTTCCATGTCCGAATCTGTCATCACGCAATTGATCACTCGAATTTCTCATATTCGGTTGTATGCTGTGATTACGCAACTGGATGATGTACTACACGTACACTCACTAGGTTTACCTGCGATTATTCACATTCATGCTATTCCGAGTCAATCACATTCTATTAAATTTCTTCTCGAATTACAACATTTACCATCTGCCTCTTCATCTCTTTTTTCTTTAATTCAACAACTGTGTCACCTGGTCTTCTCATCTGACAATATCATTTTTTCATGGGGTAATCTTCAGCAGTCTTTAGTTCTGTTTGAATCATTCAATCTCTTCTCGTTATCTCAATTTACTCATGTGTTGGATTTACAGTCGCTTTTCGCGACTCATTGGAATTCTCTGCATCCGCACACCGCGGAGTGCTTATCTCATCCAACTGTCGTTTCCGATGACTGTGAGACTGACGACACGTTAATTTGTTTAGTGAACACAGACGACCTCGAAATTGACTCACTTCGTGCGAATCTTCTCGATGACTACTCTGGATGTACATGTCCCTATGACATTCGTCCATATAAAGGATCTCAAGTAAAATGGTCTTTGCACAAGGCACTTGATTCTGTTTTTCATCAGTCTCTAGAACTGCCTTTGATTTCTAATCTATGGTCACATGGTTTGGACTTTGTTCTCACTCCTTGTGCGTCCTTAGATGATCAGACCATTCGACAAAACCTTGTTTCTCATCTTGTTCAAACTGCTGATGCCTACACCAGCTTATATTTCTTTCTGGGTAATTCTGTGCCTTCGTTGGTACCTTCGAATTCTCCGGTTTCATATTCTCTTTCGGTGGCCTCTCCGTCCTTGCCGATATTCTATCTTCTCGCTGACAGTCACGGAAGACATCTTCCGTCGACTATCACCACCTCCACCTATACACTGATTAACACGACTGTTTCCGGTCTTCACTGGTTTCACCCCACTCGGCAGAATTTGTCCGTACAGTCCTTGATCTCTTCTCCGGAAATTTTCTCACACTTATCGTCATGTCAACGACTTTTACTTTTGGTTGGCACAAATTCTGCTCGCAATACTCCCGCATCTGTGATTATCGAACAAATTTCGAATATTGTCGATACGATCCGATCTCGTCATAGCCAGTTATCATCAACGCGTGCTATTGCCATTGCGATGGTATTCCCATGTTACAAAACGTCTACTATCTTTCCTTCACTTACTGCGTTAACTCGCAATATCCAAGACTATCATGCCCTCCTTCATGATTTGTCTATTTCTCACCGTTTTCTTCTGGTGAATTTACAAATACAGGACATTCACATTAGCCGTGATCGTTTACATGTCCACAATCGTTATTCTTCCTTGTTATCTGATAACATTATCCGGTCGTTTACTCATTCCTCGTTGTCCACAAACCAACGTAGATCTATCGCCGCTCGTCGCCGTCGATACACGAAACGACGTACTCAACTCAAGCTTCAACGACACCAATCACTTTAACATGTCCTTTTTCTGACAGTTGATGGTGTTCGTTTTTACGGTTTTGTTGTTGATGTTTTCTTTCGCTTTCTGTTACACATGGTTCTTGTTACCACTTGTTTTGTTATCTATCATACCTCATGTATTTCTTCTTCTTTTCTACTTACACACATTATATTGAACTTCCGTTCGTTTCTTTCTCCAGTGATTTTGTTCTTCTAGTTCACTGTCTCTCAACTCTTTCTACAATAACCACTTTTTTGTCATGAAAGGGGAAGGTGTTAGCGTCATCGTTCGATGACACTAACTATTATATATGTTTTTCTTTGTTTTCCTTTTCTTTTCGTTTCGTTCCTCTTATTAGTGATCTTTCCATTCCTTACATATATAGCCGTTTCGTTGCCGTGATAGATG